GCAAGCCATATATCTAACAAAGGGCTAATATCTAGAATATGTAAAGACCTCTCAAAACTCAACTTAAAAAAATCCAATTAGAAAATGGGCAAAAGACACGAATGGACACTTCACTGAAGAGGTACATGAAAAGATGTTCAATATTATTAACCATGAGGAAAATGCAAATTAAAAGCACGATGAGATATCACTACAGACTTATCAAACTGATTAAAAGAAAAATAGTGATAACATTAAATGTTGGCAAGGATGCAAAGAAATGGGATAACTAGGAAAACAGTTTGGCAGTTTCTTAAAAAACTAAATATGCAGCTACAATACAATCCAACAATTACACTCATGCATTTTTCCCAAAGAAGTGGAAACATATTCACACAAACAGAAACCATATCTGGATATTCAAATGAGTTTTATTCATGATAGTTAAAAGCTGGAAGCAACCTAGATGTCCTTCAGCAGATGAATGGTTAAACAAACTGTGGCACATCTATACCGCATGATACTACTTAGGGATAAACAGGAATGAACTAATGAAACAGGAAACAACTTTAAACACGTGATTAAATTTGTATAGAATGAAACACACACATGTATAGTAGAGAAATCCGAATAACATTGGTAGATTGTATCAATGTCAATATTCTGGTTGTGATACTGTACTATAGTTTTGCAAGATGTTACCATTGGGGGAAATTGGATAAAGAGTATTACAAGATCCCACTGTATTATTTCTACAATTACATGTGAACCTACAATTATTTCAAAGTAACAGGCAATTTTAAAGCACTGAATTGTATTTTTATTAGTGAACAGGTGCAGAGAAACAGGATTACTAGGGAAAAGTTTTGGCAGCTTCTTAAAAACTAAACATGCAACTGCAACACAGTGTAGAAGTTGTTTCCTGGATACTAGTCTTTTGTCAGATATATGTTTTGTATATATTTTCTCCCCAGCTGTGCCATTTCTGATCATTATCTTAACAACATGTTTTGATGACAAAAGTTGTTATTTTAAAGTCTAATTTATCAATTATTTTCTCTTATGGATATTTCTTTATGTATGTTTGGAAACCCTTTCCTACTTGGAAGCCAAGAAGATATTCTCTTATGTTTTTTTCTAATAAATCTTTGTGATTTTAGCTTTTATGTTTGAGTATAATCCATATTAAATTAATTTTTGTGTATAATGGAAGGTGGTATCAAATTTCATATTTTTAGAAAATGAATATTCATTTGTTTCAACACCATTTGTTGAACTAACTTTTTTCTCCCATTGGATTGATCACTTTGGCATCTTTGTTGAAAATCAAATGGGTATAATTTTGGGTTCTCTATTTTGTTCTAATGATTTGTCAATCCTTATGCTAGTATCACATCTTAATTACTGTAGCTTGGTATTAGGTCTTGAAATCAGGCGCAGTAAGTCCTCCAACTGTAGAGGACTTGTTAAATTTATTAAGGACATATTTTAAATTTATTTCTAAGTATTTTATATTTTTGATGCTGTTGTAAATGAAATTGTTTTTAGGTTTTGTTTTCAATTGTTTAGTACTGGTATATAAAATGCAATTGATTTTTTATATTAGCTTTATATCCCACAAACTTGCTAGATTAATTTATTGGTTACAATAATAATTTTGTAGATTCCTCATGATTTTCTGTACAAATAATCAGGTCTTCCATAACTAGAGAAAGTCTTACTTATTCATTTCTGCTCTTTATGCCTTTTATTTCCTTTTAGTGTCTGATTGCAATGAATAGGACTTCTAATGCTATGTTGAATAGCAGTCGTTAGAACAAGCATTCTTGCCTTGTTTCCAGTCTTAGGGGAGTATAGTTTGCTACTTCATCATTAAGTATGATTCAGCTATAAGATTTTTATGGCAGCCATTTGTCAAGTTGAGGGTTTCTTTCTTTTCCTAGTTTTCTGAGCATTTTTACCATGAATCGCTGTTGAGTTTTGTCAAATGTTTTTTCTGCAGCCATTGAAATGATTGTATTTTTTTCTCCTTGTTTTGGAATATGGTAACTTTGGTTTTTGAACATTAAAGCATTTTTGCTTTCCTGAAATAAACCTCGCTTTGTCACAATCTATTACACATTATATATACTGCTGGATTCAATTTGCTAATCGTTTGTTGAGGACTTTGAATCTGTGTTATTCAGGCATATTGGCCTCTAAGTTTTTCCGTTCTTTCTTTTTCTTTCTCTTTTCCTTTTTTTTCAGTGTTAGAGTCATGCTGCCCTCTTTAAATGAGTTGAGAAATATGTCCTCCTTATTTTTTAAAAACGATTTATAAAATTCGTATTATTTCTTTCTTAAGTATTTGATAAAATTCACCAGTGAAAATATCTGCGTATAGTTTTCTTTTTTCTTTTCCTTTTTTTTTTTTTATCGTAACATAGTCGATTGTACACATCTGTGGGGTACAGAGTTGAATATCATTTCCTGTGTGCAATAGGTGATACTCAAATCAGGATAGGTAGTATATTCAACATTACACAACATGATCATTTTTTGTGGCCATTTACCAATTTCCACTATCTATGAGCCTCCATCTCAATGTCAATTCCTGGTGATAGTCTTTTTACTCAAGAATGGGTCACATATTTTTATATGTTTGTTTCATATGTTTGCATATTGAGTAATTTTGGATTTTATGGGCATTAGGGATGTTATGTGTTGGGTTTTTTTAACAGATAATTAACTTGATTGGATTCAAACTGCAAACTCTGTCTCACCTGCAGTGAAATCTCAGTTCAATCTATGAGCCTTAGCTTGGCTGCAGGCATGGTTCAAGGGTCAGCCAGAGATGTGTGCAGAGTTTATGTACAGAATTTGGGGCTCCCAAATCTGGCTCTTCCTGTGATTCCCCTGCCTCACTTTCCACTCATTGACTGTGATTGTCCTGAATGCTGTCCTCAGCAAGACAGAAAGGCTCTAGGTTTTCCACCAGTTTTAGGTGCACCTAGTACAGACTGGTCACTGCTGTCCATTTAAAAGCCCTAAATATGGGAAATCTCTATGTTGTTCTCCTCTTTGAAGTGCTGACTGCCCTCCAAAATCTGTCTGCTTTTTATCTCATTTCCGTTGTCTGCAGGTGTGTGGGTTTGTTTTTGTTTGTTTGTTTGCTTTTTCTATTTTTTCCAAAGTTTAAAGTTGTCATTTGTGGTAGGGTCAGTTTGGTAGCAGCCACTTGGCCATGACCAAAAGCCTACATCCTCTGGAATGATGTCTTAAAAATATAAATATTGTCACCCCTCCCCAACACACACATTCTGTGTGTGTGTGTGTGTGTCCCTCAAAATTATTCAATGGTATCCCATTGCATTTAAAATAAAATCCAAGATTTGCATCTTCTCCTTGATCTTAGCATACTTAGCCAGATCTTCCCTGTGCTGGGGGCATTGGCATGCTATTTCTTCAGCTTGGAAAACTCTTCAAATATTTTTTTTAAAATAGACTTTATTTTTTGTTTTTATTTTCTATTTGGGGGCAGCTGGCCAGTTAGGGGATTGAATCTTTGACCTTGGTGTTAAAACACCATGCTCTAACCAACTAAGCTATCCAGCCAGCCCAACTTTATTTTTTAGAGTAGTTTTAGGTTCACAGCAAAATTCAGAGGAAGGTACAAAGATTTCCCACATATACCCTGTCCCTACTTCTTCCCACTTTTCACATAGCTACTGCTTTTTGTTCTTCAGATCTCAGCCAAAACATCACCTCCTCCAGGGAGGCCTTGCATGACCATTTCATCTAAATTAGTTCCTCCTGTAAAGGTCTTACTTTCATTGTTGATTTTGCTTAGCACTGTACACTCAGCTCCTAGGACAGTGCCTGGCATATAGTATGCACTCGATAAATATTTTGTTAATGAATAAGGGATGATTTATTATATATTTCTAACAATTTCTGGTAGCAGTGTGGAGAAAATGATTTTTAAACCATTATAATGGAGCTTCACTATAATATTAGGCTTGAGTTCAATCCCACTGATTGCCTAAATACAGTCCTGCATGGGCATCAGAAACTATCCTCCCAGACCACAAGATGTCATATGACAGACCTGCTTTCAATTGAGTTCTGTTCTGTTGGTGTGTGAGAGAGATTTTTGAAAATCTGTTGTAGTTGTCCTTCAGATACCAATGAGATTAATGGTTAAATGTATTTCTGATCATTGTTTAACTTCAAGTAAAATTCATCATAATTAAAATCACTGGCACTACTCATAAATTTATGTCATGAAAAAATCATTATATTATTGAAGCATGAATTAATAATACATTTTTATACAATGCCTTTTATGCCTGGAAATTAGAATTGACTTTTAAAGTAAAATTTCATTCATTACATTATTGAAGTTTGACTATTAAATTATCTTAAGTTTCTTTTTTAAAAATCTTATAATAGGACTAAGACTTATAGGCATTACAATACGTATCAAACAAATTACCACCTTATAAGTGAACAATGCACATTTCTCTATTATCTATTATATTTAAAGAAATGAATAAATGCTAATGAGGATATTTACAGTTTTATCTATTTCTATTCAATTCTTTTAAAATGTTTTTTTCTGGATACAAATTTGTTTTCTTTTCTTCTTTTTTTAAAGATGACCGGTAAGGGGATCTTAACCCTCAACTTGGTATTGTCAGCACCACGCTCAGCCAGTGAGCAAACCGGCCATCCCTATATGGGATCCGAACCCAGGGCCTTGGTATTATCAACACCACACTCTCCCGAGTGAGCCACGGGCCGGCCCTTGTTTTCTTTTCTAATTCACATTCAGTATTATAACTTGTATTCCCATTATAGTTTAGTCAAGCAAATGGTTGAAAATGCTTCTCTTTTATTGCTTAAAAACATTTTATAGAAAATTCTCTTTTTTAATCTTTGCAAATGATAACAAATGATATAGGTCTTTAATTTTACAGATTAATAAACAGAAAGAAGAAATGGAAATGAGAAAAAAGTTTGATGCCATAAGCAGCAAGGTTTGTATTAAGTTCTCTCTCTCTCTCTCTCTTCCCCCCTTTTATTCTGTGCTTCTCTTATTTTGGCATCTGGATTGAAGCATCTATACCTGTCATACTGAGGCTTTTCACTTTCCAGTGTCTGAGTTTGGAAAAGAAAATGCTTGAAAAT